TTTTTTTTTTTGAGTTGGAGTCTCACTCCATCGCCCAGGCTGGAGTGCAGTGGCACACTTCTGGCCACTGCAGCCTCAACCTGCTGGGCTGCAATCCTTCTGCCTTAGTCTTCCAAGTAACTGGAAGACTAAGGCATGTACTACCACGCCTGGCTAATTTTTTATTTACTTTGGAGACGAGGTCTCGCCAAGTTGCCCCAGCTGGTCTCAAACTTGCTCAGGCAATCCACTCACTTCAGCCTCCCAAAGTGCTGGGATTACAGGCTGAGCCACCGAGCCTGGCCTTTTTTTTTTTTTTTTTTTTTAAGAGACAGTCTCTCTTCTCCCACAATTCCTCACACTCTTCCTTTCCAACTTGTACCCAGCAGAATGGTACCCACAAAGAAGGGTGGCGAGAAGAAGGGTTGTTCTGCTATCAACAAGGTGGTGACCCGAGAATACACCATCAACATTCACAAGCACATCCATAGAGTGGGCTTTAAGAAGTGTGCCCCTCAGGCACTCAAAGAGAACCAAAAGCCAAAAGTTTGCCATGAAGGAGGTGGGGACTCCAGATGTATGCATTGATACTAGGCTCAACAAAGCTGTCTGGGCCAAAGGAATAAGAAATCTCCTGCCGGGTTCGGTGGCTCAGCCTGTAATCCCGCACTTTGGGAGGCTGAGGTGAGTGGACTGCCTGAGCCCGTGGGTTCGAGACCCGCCTGGGCAGCAAGACCTCATCTCTACAATAAATCAAAAAATCAGCTGGGCGTGGTAGTGCATGCCTGTAATTCCGGCTATTTGGAAGGCTGAGGCAGAAGGATCGCCAGAGCCCAGCAGGTCGAGGCTGTGATGGCCGGGAGTGGCCACTGCACTCCAGTCTGGGTGACAGAGTGAGACTCCAACTCAAAAAAAAAAAAATCTCCCATACCGTATCCGTGTATGATTGTCCAGAAAACATAATGAGGATGAAGACTCACTAAACAAGTTTTATGCTTTGGTGATCTATGTACCTGTTACCACTTTCAAAAATCTACCGACAGTCAATGTGGATGAGAACTAATCGCTGATTAAGTACATCAAATAAAGTTATAAAACTGCTTTCAAAAAAGCAGTTGCTCAGTCTGGAGTGAAATGGTGTGATGATAGGTCACTGCAGCCTCGAACTCCTGGCCTCAAGTGATCCTCCTGTCTCCGCCTCCCAAAGTGCTGGGATGACAGGTGTGAACCACCGCACCCAGCTTTCATTTTTCTTATGACAAAAACTGAGACTTGCGAGACTAAGTGACTTGCCCTGGGTCACACAGTTAATGTGTATCAGCTGAATTCTCAAGTCCGTTTTTTTGCCACTATGCAAGGAAAGGAAGGCAGAGCTGGCAGAAGTGAGATGGGATGGGAGTTGGGTCCACATTTTGAAAAGACCTCTTCTAAAATTGCTATGGCTTTTATTTGTTTTTAGTGACACACTTTTAATTTATTTGACATTTTCTGAAGTAAAGGGAGGAGGGGAGATTTTCAGCAGGGGCCAGCGAGGCTCCCAGAGTCCTCGCCAGGAAAGATGACCCCCAATTCTCAGACCCTCCCCCACTCTTGGCTGCTGCTCAGACCTGGCACTGCCCACAGAGCAGGTCCTAAGTCTGGCCCGTTTCCTTCACAGTGCTGTTTTGAAGGTCCACGCTTTGCAGCAACTTTCTGCGAGTTAAACAGCATCTGGGCCTATGGTTCTCCTTAGAGTCCAAGCTAGTGCATGCTGACCGCCAGGACCCAGGAGAAGCCCACTTGTATTCATCATCTGATCTGAGGCATCAGCCTCAGCGGGGGGGTCCTGTTTTGATCTCCATCTTTAAGATTAAGAAAGCGAAGCTTCAGGAGACAAAATTCCTTGTCCACGGCCATAGCCTGGATTTAGACCAGGCTCCCGGACTCGAGTTTGGATTCTTACCCAACACACTGCCTGCCTCCAAAGTCATGGCCGTTGAGTTCCCATGGGCTGAACAGGGTCTCAGAAGGCCTGACTTCTCTGGGTATGGGGTGGGGGTCTGTGTGCGACCAGGACCCCAGGTTACCCCTGAGGCTGGCGCACAGCCCTGCCCTCCCCCAACGAACAAAAGGGACTTACTGGAGCAGCCCAGAGGCCTGGAGCAGACCAGAAGCCAGTCCCAAATCCCAAGGCTGGCAAGACAGGAGGATGCCGGCGCGCTAAAATGGAGGAGGTGAGGGTGCTGGGAAAACTGCAGGGAGCGGCAGGAAAGACTTCTGAGGAGGAGCCCAGGATGGCATGTCCGCCAGTGTGACACGTAGACAGGGCCCCTGCATCGTGCCATGCCCTGCCCCAAGGTCCATCCTGCAGTCTAATTATAATGCCCACCCTGTTTTAGCCCCACCCCCAGGCTACTGAAAACTCCTGTCCCCTCCAAAATAAAGTCCCGTTTCCTCTTCTCTAACCACAAAGGCACTGAACACGGGAGGGGGGTTGCAGTTTTCGCCGTGCCAACTCTGGCATGTCTCCATTTCTCTTCTCCCTCCTTTCTCTAATAAACTTTGTTTGAAACTTAAAAAAAGAGAAGAAAACAGAGGGGGGCAGAAAGGGAGTCAGGGTGGGTGGGGAGACAGGGGGACCCCAGCGGAAAGACCACTCCAGGATTCCCATGCAGCAGGGACCACCCCCGACCCCCACTGCTGTAGACCCGGACACCCTCCTCCTCCATGTTTTAAAATCCAGCAATGGTAACGACTTAGGCAGTTCACCTTAATTAGCAAGCACTCGGGGAGGTGTGGGGCGCCTGTGTGGAAGAGATTGGGGTCCTCTGAGAGGTGAAGGCTTGGAGTTGGCAGCGGGGGGGGGGGAGGCTACCTTTGGGGAAATGGATGTCTGGGAGCCCCCGACGGTGCTGTCTGGGGTTGGGGGATCATAAAATGAATTACGGGATGAGGAGTTTAAAAGAGCTACGGGGAAACCACCAGGCCGGGGAGAGAACCGCGTTTCGGGGGAGGGGAGTCTGGGGGCGCGAACCCGTTACCTGGAATCAAACTTCTTGCCGTCCTCGAAAGTGCCATTGTAGTGGTAGCGCACGTAATCACCTATCTGCACTTCGCGGGGACAGGCCATGGGGATGTGGTACCTCTCGATGACCACATCGTCCAGGGGGCCCCCGGCCGGGCTGGCGCGGCCCAGCCCCCTCCCCACGGCCTGAACGAGCAGCAGCAGCAGCGGCAGCCGGGGGAGCCGGAGGAGGGTGTGGCCAGGGGGTCCTGCGAGAAACATCGCGCCCGGAGCTGGGACTGCCGGCAGTGAGGGCGAGCGAGGGAGCCGCCGTCGCCAACCTCCTTCCCCCCTCCCCTGGAGCTGGCTCCCCCTCTTCCTGTCCTCCCTTCCCGCCCCAGCC